TCCCCAAGTCAAGACTAAACACTATCGAGTGTTTTGATCTAAACACCTTAAGGAAGAACGGCAGACGTACAAGCCTGGAGACAACAGTCGGCTGTCCTAAGACAAGCCATCTCACAAGCTAAACGGACTTCGTTCGACTAGTTCATCTCAAATACCAACTCTCAAAGTGATAGCCAACGCACTTTCAAATTNGCGTAAGCTCAAACTTCTTCAATCGTTACAGAAAACAAGAGTTTCATTTGCTTACAGAGATTGGTGAAGACCAAGACACCGAGTTAAGAAGTACATGGCGGACGAGACTTCGAGATCATTTCAATTGAAATAAGAGTGAGATAAAGGCTTGTGTATATGCGGTGACGCGGGATTATCATTTAGACTATGTATCTCTTCGGAGGTACATATACTAAAATTGGAACGATACAGAGAAGATTAGCATGGCCCCTGCGCAAGGATGACACGTAAAATCGTGAAGCGTTCCATATTTTTTGGGGTGCGCAATAGACTTACCTCCACGTGGTGCACCCTGGGCAACGTGTACTTACACGACAAAAAAGTCTATTGATCGGCAGTTGACTTCTGACTTCAAATTTCTATGGCCCTACTATTTTTCATATTCGACCCCTTCCAAAGCACTCATCTTACCCTTTTTATGCCTTTGTGTCTGTCTGTTTGTCTCTTTTACCACTGCGAATCATTATTCTGTCTCCCATCTCGACTTTTTGTCACTTTGATATCCCTTCTCATCTTCATGAAGCCCCGAAATCAGCTCCAGGGCTAATGATAACTATCAAAACGCCTGCCATTTGATATAAATAAATAAATAAATCATTTAGACTAACTTGTCAACTAGAAAAAGAAACTACCTATGCACGTGCGCATTTATAGGGCTCCAATACTCACACTTAGTAGCTATTGGAAAATGAGCGTTATTGCTCTTACTGATGGCAAAATAGGAACTTCTTAAGGCTAAGAAATCAGTAAAATATGGCATGAAGAGGGGAAACGAAGAGATTTGGACTCTAGATGCACCGAGGTCTCTACTCGTTTTATCCGATTGAAGCAGGTATTTTGAATTGAAAATACCATGATACCACAACCCACTCATGTTTCTTGAAGGTAAGTTATTTGAACGATTGGCAATGACACCATGATATATGAAACGCCGTTCTTGGCTCACGCCGCCATAATTAACTTTTCCGAGACACTTCGGACTAATATTATTATTATATCAAATGGCAGGCGTCTTGATGGTTATCATAGCCCTATAGTTGACTTCAGGCCTCACAGAGAGGAAGGTACATCAAATTGAAAAAAAGTCGAGAGGGGAGGGGGAATAGAAGAGTTTCAAAGATGCAAAAGAGACAGATACATAGGTAGAAAAAAGGTGAGGTGAGTACTATGGAAGTAGTCGAATATGACAAACAGTGGGGTGATGGTAGTTTGAAGTGAGAAGTCAACTGCCAGTTAATAGACTTTTTGCCGTGAGTATACGTTGATCAGGGTGCACCACGTGAAGGTAAGTCTACCAATGACCTAATGAAGCAGACCCAGGAAAACTAGTGAATACACAGGTCTTCAAGTTAACACAGACTCACAAGCCTCCCAAAAGCTATTACAGAATGGAGTCGAAAATAAATTTATTTTGACGCTAATAATACTCCTGTTTGTGCATTCATTAATTGCAGGTTTATTTTTAACCTGGATAGGTGTAATACTGAGAAAAATTTCCGTTTACTTGTACACCAAAATACAGTGAGATTGTTACAACAAGGGTGTTTAGCATATTCGTTTGTTTTTTATTTATTAATCATCAAAGAATACATAAAAATTGAAGAGATATAGAATGGGAAGGAATAAGGTGGAGTTTATATATTAATATTTATATGTATATNACTTACTGAACTATTCAGACCTTGCGAACTTAATGCCGTGATAAAACAGCTAAAGTGCAAAAAGTCTCCTGGGGAAGACGGTNTTGCTAATTTACTTCTAGTTTTATGTAAGTTTCACCTACGTTAAATTCATGTTTGTTAAAATTTCGCAAAATTTAGAAGTGGTGTCTGTAAAGATTGATGGCGCTCTAAATTTTCGCTATATACTCATCCGTTCCTTTCAATTAAATTTAAATTGAAGGTGTGGTGTGAGATAGACCTACCTCTACGTGGTACAACCTGAGTAACGCATGCTCATACGGCAAAAAAGTCTATTAACGGGCAGTTAATTTCTGATTTCAAACTACCATGACCCCACTGCAAAGCATGTTCGACCACTTCCACAGTACTCATCTTACCTTTTCTCTACCTTTGTGTCTGCCTGCCTCTTTTACATCTCTGAAACACTTCTGTCCCCCCCCCCTCGATATTTTTCACTTTGATGTTCCTTCCCCTCTGTTAAGCCTGAAGCCAACTAAAGGGCTAATGATAACCATCAAAACGCCTGCCATTTGATATAAATAAATAAATAAATATTTTCACAATTCCCTCGTTACTGTTTTTTGCTAGTTGGAGCATAAATTATCGTTTTTTACCTTTGAATGGGCGTTGGAAATGGGACATACAGTCCCAGATTCCTTACAGCAACCAGGAGACAGAGACATATTTTCATAGTCAGACTGTCCACCAAATCCACAGCACAAAAACTGTATAAAGAACTTGAGTAAATCAATGACTTTGCATACCTGATTTTCAATTAAGAAAACCGCCTGCTTTCCTTTGACTGAATCGGCTGCCTTAGTAAACACCTCCTTCAAGGCAATATCAACCCATTCGAATAGTTTGCCCTCCTGAACGTAGACAATTGTAAAATCGTTACTTAAAAGATTTAAGTAAATATAAAGCTTACATCACCCGAGACAATGATGAGTTGAATGCCACCAGCCAATAATAAACCAGTAGTTATCCAAAGCATGCAAACATACTAAACCAAAATGAAGTAATTATTCGAATTGCTTCTTACAGAAAATAGGCCACATTTCCCTCTGCTTCTAACGCAGCTGAAAGCAGGAAAACTGGTAATAAGACCCAGGGCCCCAGTTAGGAAGATATGAACAGAAAGGCCGGCATAGCTTTGTGTTGGAGCATCGATTATGTCATTAAGCATGAGGGAAAGTACAACTCCCACCACAATACACCACCAGAATACACACTAAAATGGCAAAGAATGTTATTTTAAGTGAGAAGTTTATAAAGGACATTAAATTTGACC